CCCCAAAACCCCAAAACCCCAAAACCCCAAAACCCCGTTCAATTCTAATTAAATGAAATAAGAATAATAATTAATATGGAGCAAGACTCTCCTGATGATAGGTTTCAGGAAGACCAGAATGGCCAAGCCTCATCTGATACATCAGACCTGATTGAACTCCGGAATCTCAATAATGAGGGAGAGAATAATATGAATACAAGTGATGACATTGAAATCCATGATAGCCTTTCCCATCGAAGGAATAGTTCCTATGAGGATAATTTGATTAAGACTTCTAAGAGTCAAAATGTTGTCCCTGAAATCATTAATGAAGAATTTGAAATGTATCATAATCAACAGCCAAATATCGAGAGGGTTATTTACCAAGATGAGGTTAATTCATTGCTGAAGGCTATTTCTGCGGTAAACCTGATATCATTAGAGAGAATCTTGGATAGTATCTCAGAAAGTTTTGACTTAACTCAAGTACTTAACCAAGAAAATGGATATACATTACTTCATTTAGCTGTTTTCAAAGATTCTGAGAAAATTATATCAATGCTCTGAAAGCATATAATGACGAGACAAGGTGATACCTTGGAGAACAATAAAAAGAAAATGAAAAATTGGATTAACAGAAAAACTGAGGGAAAAGAAGGATTCACCGCAATCCATCTTGCTTCTTTCAATGGAAATTTGACAATCATTCGATTTTTAGAAAGGCATGGAGCTGATATTTTTGCTGAAAATAATTTTTCTCTAAATGGTCTTCATGTCTCTGCACAAGGAAATCAACCCTCTGCCACTGTGTATTTCTTGAACAAAAACTTCGATGTAAATTGTAGAGATAGAGTTATGAGTACACCTTTACATTGGGCATGATATTCTGGAGCAGAAACAACAGTAGCTTATCTTCTTGCTAATGATGCAGACCCAAATGCTCAAGATAATGATGGGCATACACCTCTCCATCTAGCTATTAAGTCTTCGGATGTAGTGAAGAATTCAAGGATTGTCAAACAATTGCTATTTAATGGTGCTGAAAGAAATCTAGAGAATTTTGAGGGATTTAGCCCAATGGATTATGCTAATGGAATAAAAATTCACCATATATCAACTGAGATAAAGAAGTCTCTAGCTGAGCCAAAATATTGCTCCTTCTTGCTCCTCACCCAACCTTTAAAGAAGATGAACAAAGAGATCCATACCGCAGTCAGCTTTGTGGTGCTAATGGCTCTTCTTTATGCAATCATGTGGTTTTATGTTTTCCCCTTTACCGAGAGTTCTGAGTGGAATTATACTTTAGACGTGTTGTTTGCTTTATCATTTATTTTATGGTTAATATCAGCCATCAAAGATCCAGGCTACATGAAAAAGAGTGATAAATTAGAGTTCATCACATTAGTTGAAAAGCTTGATCCTGCATGTTTATGTCCTAAATGTCATATTATGAGAACTCCAAGAAGCAGACACTGAACTATTTGAGACCAATGAGTTGAGCGATTTGACCATCACTGTCCTTGGATAAACAATTGTATTGGAACAGGAAATCACGGAGTGTTCTTTATATTCTTGATCTTTATGTATTCCTTGCTTGTGTGAGTGTTGATCCAAGTTATTTTTAACTCTTCCATTTACAAAGGGATTAGATTCCTTCTACTAATGACTTGAGGGTTCTTTTGGCTTTTACTTAGCCTTCTTCTGCTAAAACAAACCTGTGTTATCTTCCAAGAAGGAGGCTCTAATAGAAAAGAATTTGGGAGATCAAAACCCAACGATGAAAATAATTTAAGCGAGAAATCTTTTGGGGATAGTGAAGCTCAAGCTGCATTACTTAGGAATGCTTCCATAGATTCTTCTCTTGATGATAGGAATAAAGGAAGATGAAGGAATTTCATTTCGGTTATCAAAGGAGGAGAAATGAAAGATCAGTATAAAATCTTCATAAAAAGTATGAAAAGAGCTGGGACAAACTGCTTCGATTCACCACTTAATGACAAGAACTTCTACTAATGTAATTGAAGCATCAGTCAACTTTAAATAACTAAGATGGGGTTTTGGGGTTTTGGGGTTTTGGGGTTTTGGGG